ACGTTGCTAAAAATTACAGATTTTTATTTATTTATTTATTTATTTATTTATTTATTTACATTTTGCTGTCATATTCATGAATGGACACTTCCTGTTATGTGGGGCAGGAAGCATAGCCTTATATGGTGTTTTTGGCATGGTAATTATGCTAATCTCCTCTTTTTGTGCACGAGCACCTGATTCAAACAAGTGGCATTCATCAGTTTACGCTCCTCATTTACACACTTTTCCTGAAGATAAAAGCTTTTGTTGAATCTGACATGGCATGTTTGTACGAACCCCTCGTATGAACAAAAGTAATAGAAATTTAGGAGAAGAATACGAACATGTTCTTGCATGCAGCCCATTGATTCTACTACAAAGATGGAGTTGGATTAGCATTATCAGAATGTATAAATAACAGACACCACCAGTACCTGAAAAGACTAAAATACTGCCTGGACTATAGTATACTGCTCATAAAGCTTTTCTAATTAATTTATGTCATGCTTCACAAACCTAAAACTACTGTACAAATGGCCTGCAGTGTGAACGTAGCAGCCATGTCATGTTGTGTTTTACTAAACTATTTAGCTGTGGCTACAGTGTAGCTTACCATCATCAGTGTGTGTGTATGATTAAAGTATAAAGTGCTTTGGAGTCCAACAGGACTAGACCAGCTTTGTTAGTTGATAAGAGGTAAATAAACAAAAAGTTTTTTGTTTTTCCCTTCCACAGACATGGTGATAAAGCTGTTTCCAAACACTACAGTGTTTGAAGTAAGAGCCTTCATTCACAGAAATCGAGGCCTACCCAAAGAAAACTGACAGTTCCCCTGTTCCTTGAAGGACAAAGTGTGAAGTATTTTGTTTAAATGTTTGGTTTATATGGTTTTATGCTGTTTTTGATGTAAAGTTTAGAAAGAAATGCACTGTAATTATTTCTGCGTGTGATTTGTTAGTTGTTTTTATGCAGAAAACTTAAAAGTGGCTTTTTTATGTGATTTATGGATATAGTGTACTTTTCAGTACTACTGGCCATGTAAAATAATTTTATAGATTTTATTTAGTTTAATGTTTTAGTCAATATTTTAAACATGTTGCTGTGCCTTTTAATGCACAAAAATTTTATTTTGTAATGTATAATATATTAAAGTTTTTGAAGATGTCTGAATGTGTCTTAAAATACATTTTTATGAAATTTTTTTTTATTATGCTAAAAGAGCATTTTGAATAGTTTTGTAAAGCTTCAGAATATCTTAATAGTTGCTCTTGGAGTATATTAACAG